CTTTGAAACTGTTGGGTGCCTTTTTGCAGACCAGGAGATGATGTTGGTGCCAAGAAAAGTGCAAAAGCCTCCAGTTGATCGTCTAGTGTCCTGGCATCCAGCCCAGTCACTGTCACTATACGCTCGTAGAGTAGAATCTGTATTGGCATTGATGTCAACTCCCATATGTATTGTACCTTTTAAATACATGAGGATACGCTTAAGAAGATGGAAATCAGCAACAGTGGGCTTGTGCATCTTTTGGCACACAAAATTCACTGCGAATTGAATATCTGGTCTTGTTAACGTCAAGTACTGCAGTTTCCCAGCCAAACTTCGAAAATAGGTAGGATCTTCAAAAATTTCATCTTGTCCAGAGACTTTATCAAGCTGAAGTGGTAATGGAGTAGGCATTGGTGCACAATCAAGCATTCCAGCTGTTACAAGAAGGTCTTTAGCATACTTCTCTTGATTCAAAAACAAACCATCCTTGTGAAAATGAGCTTGTATTCCAAGAAAATAATGTAATGGACCAAGATCTTTCATACGGAACTCTTCATTCAGACAAACCAAAAACTCTTGAATCAACTGATCATTGTTACCCGTGAGCACCATATCATCAACATACAGAAGAAGGAACATCATGTCATTGCCTTTAATGTAGACAAAGAGAGATGGATCTGGAAGACTGCAAATGAAGCCGAATTTTAATAGATACGTACTGAACTTATCAAACCAAGCACGAGGAGCTTGCTTGAGACCGTATATAGCCTTTTTGAGTTTACATACGAAGTCTGGTCTGTTAGCATCTTCAAATCCCGGAGGTTGTACCATATACACTGTCTCCTCTAGATCACCATGCAAAAATGCATTCTTTACATCTAATTGCTTAATGTTCCAATGTTGAGTGACTGCGAGATGAAGTACAGAGCGTACCGTAGCAGTTCGCACCACTGGACTGAAGGTTTCAACAAAGTCAACCCCTTCTTCTTGGTCATAACCCTTAGCAACCAGTCTTGCTTTCAACCTGTCAAGACTTCCATCAGAGTGTAGCTTTGTTTTAAAAATCCATCGACATCCGAACACATTTTCAGCCATATCCGGAGGAACCAGATCCCAAGTATCAGTTTCATGCATTGTAGACATTTCTTCTCCCATTGCACTAGTCCACCCTGGGTCTTTCAATGCAGACTTCACTGTCTTAGGCTCAGGATAGTTTTCTTTGACCGTGAACAATGCATATTTAGGATTAGGCTTAACAATTCCTGCCTTTGCTCTTGTAATCATTGGATGAGAAGATGATGTTGCAGTAGATGGATCAACAGAGGAAGCTGCTGAAGTACTTTGTTGTTGAAGTAATGGAGGAAAGTCACTTTCAGTAAAGAGAGAACCACAGTCTTCTGTTGTTTCTGGTATAACTGGATGAGTAAGTGTAGAATTTGTAGTTTCCACAGATGATATAGCCGGTGGTGATGAATGAGGAAGCTTAGATGTGTCTATCCTACTCGAAGAAACATGAGAGCTGTTGCCTATAGAAGTAGGATCAAAGCCTATCGTACCCCCAATACTCTCAGTTTCTTGAATAGGAGAAGACACAGCAGCAACATTCTGAGAATCAATAGCAGTTGAAACTTTGGTATTACCAGACTGCCAAGCTGAAAGTAATGGAGTATGAGCCTGAGACTTGTAGACATTATACTCCTCTGAATAGGGAAAACGATTTTCTGAAAATAAGACATGTCTACTTATATAAACTTTACCAGAAGGAGGATGAAGACACCGATAACCTTTATATTTCTCATTGTATCCCAGAAAAACACAATGGAGAGACTTTGGATCAAACTTGTTAACACCATAAGGACGTAAGTATGGGTAGCAAGAACAGCCAAAGACTCTTAAAGAGGTATAAATAGGAGGCTTCTTATGCAAAACTTCATAGGGACTGACCTTGTTGGTAAGAACAGAGGAAGGCAGTAGATTACCTAAGAAGTTTGCTGTGAAAAAGGCTTCAACCCATAGTTCTTGTGGAGCAAAGCTTTGAAATAACATAGACAAACCCAGTTCTGTAATATGCCTATGTTTCCTTTCAGCAAGACCATTCTGTTGTGGAGTATATGGACATGACATCTGCTGTTTGATCCCTGACTTTGCTAGATGAGTGACAAATCTTGTACTAACAAACTCACCCCCTCCATCACATTGAAAACTCTGAATCTTTAGTTGTAGTTGATTCTCAATTAATTGTTGAAAAGTCAGAAACACTGAATAGAAATCAGACTTGCTCTTGAGAGGATAAAACCAAGTGAATCTTGAAAAGTGATCAATAAATATAACATAGTAACGAAATCCTTGAGGAGAAACAACCGGAGCAGGGCCCCATAAATCACAATGGATGCGTTCTAAGGGCTGAGAAGCAACATAATTTGAAGAAACAAATGGAAGTCTACTGATCTTCCCTAACTGACAAGCTTCACATAGATGAGAAGGTGCCTTATTCATTACTATAGACTTATTGCTTGATAAGAGTTGCAGGATCTCACTGTGTGGATGTCCAAGTCTCCGATGCCAGACTGCTTCACTGGTTATTTGTTGACGATTTGAGTAGAAAGTATCATGAACCTGAGAATCCTTTAGCACGTAGAGATCATTGCGTCTGCTCCCTTTCATGAGGAGCTGTTTTGTCTGCAGATCCTTTATTTGAACCGAATGTGCATCAAAAGTAACAGAACAAGGATAATCAGCTGTTAGCTTGGAGACTGACAAAAGAGATTTTTTGATAGCAGGACAAACCAAAACATCATCTAGTGGTAAAGTACCTTTCAGAGTAGTAGAACCAACATGTGTAATAGGCAGAAAATCACCATTGCCAACTATCACTGAATCTGCCCTTGCATAAGGTTCAACACTCTGTAAAGCAGAAGGAGAGTTTGTAATATGTGCAGTAGCCCCACTATCAGAGACCCATTCATTACCTGCTGCATACTCTTGATCAGAAACTCGCATTGCATTCAAAGCCTGAGCAATATCAGTGTTGTAGTAGTCTTCTTCAAACCGATGATAACACTTGTAAGCAGAATGTCCAAACTTCCCACAGATTTGACATGTAGGTCGGTTATCAGCTTGAGAACCAGTGCTAAACTGCTGCTGAAAACCTCTACCATGAGTTGAATAGGATCCCGAACCTCTACCTCCTCTGTTACCTCCTCTTGATTGACCACGACCTCTGTTGTTACCAGAATATCCACCTCTATTAGAGTATCCTCCTCTATTGTTGTTGGACTGAGATGAAGAATATCCAGGCTTGTCAAAATAAAAGGCCAGATGTGGAGTAACTCCTGTTGCAGACTCATATTGTTGAATCTTATCATCAAAGTTTGTGAGTTTAAACTCAACATCTTCAAAACATGGACCAGGATAGGATTCCATAGATTCTTCAATCACAGTACTAATGGACTCATATTCTTTCCCTAAACCAGTCAATGCACCAGATATCTTTTCATGTTCAGAAAGAGGAGCACCAATAGAATCAAGTTGATCACACAGAGATTTTATTTCAGCTAAATAAACAGCCATAGTCTTGCCTACTTTTGTTGTTGAATGAATCTTCTTCTGGAGATCTAACTTTCTAGTAGCAGAGACTCGGTTATACTTTTTAGCCAGAGAAAACCATACCTCTTGAGATGAACGAAGACCATACACACTCTTAAGAGCAGTTTCTGAAAGAGATCCAAACAGCCAGGCCATGACTAGCTGATCTGATTGTATCCATCTCACAAACTCTGGATTGCTGATCTCTGTAGCTTGGCCATTGTTATGAACCACCAGTGTTGGAGTCGGACGTGAAATCGCCCCAGTAACAAACCCTAAAAGCATCTGACTTGACAAAAATTGCTCAAACTGTAATTTCCAGAGCAAATAGTTGTTGTCAGTAAGCTTTAGAGTCACACACTGAGAAATGGTAACAGTAGGTCTATAAAAGGTTGTAGCATCAGATTGATGCTGAGCTTGAAAAGAAGGTGATAAAGATGGAGATGGTGAAGGAACATGAAATGATGGAGGTGGTGGAAGATTCATAGATCCAGAAGGAGACTGAGAAAAGATGACAGCTGCAGTCTGAGGAATAAGAACTGCAGGATTTGAGACTGGTTGAGAACTCATAGATTGAGAACTCATAGATGCGGAAGAAGAGCTATCCATGGCTCTGATACCATGAAAGCTTTTACAAAACTTAGAAGATAAGAATGGAGAAGAAGAACTTTTGTTATTATTATCAACTCAACGTTTACAATCGTAGTACATAGACTATATAAAGACAAGGCTCTCTAATGATAGTACGCCAGGTGTCCTTAGCTGCACATGATGAGAGCATCAAATCTGTTATTGAGGAAGCTTCTTGGAAGGCTCCTTTGCGCTGAGAGCACACAACTTTTGTGTGTTGGTTTTGGCGGTAACACCTGAGAAGACTGAGAGATGGGCTTTGACTGATCTGAGATCGAGTGGGCTTGTGGTAAAGGCCCAACTTCAGTTTTGCTTACCAAAGCCAAAACCTCTGTTTGAGACAGAGTCTTCTTCTCTTCAATAATATTTTGTGGACTCTGTTGATTCTTTTAAGTTTTAACTAAATTTTTTTAAATCCAAACCGACTGAAGGAAAAACTGAATGCCCAAGCTTTTTCTATTGCATGATAGCATGACCAAAGAAAGTAGTTGTATGTCAAGCATATTGTCTCTTAAGTATTAACGCCCATGCAGTTGTAAATTAAGCTAGAGATTTTCGTCCGTTTATTATGCATAAATTTAAGATATGAATACTTATTTCATGATATTCCATATCTATTTCTACTAAATAAACAGTCACTTTACTAAAAACTGCCACACTCTTCTTCTGACACGTGGCAAAACTTTCAAATTTTGTTGTTTCACTTTCGTAATCCATTTTTCCTGAATTTTTTGACAAAAAATATATAAAATATCTTACCACTTTCTTTCTTAGTAACTTCTTCTTCTCTTCTTTTCCATAACCTTAGATCCTCCATTCTTTCTTCGAAATCCTCCATTTTTTCTCATATTTTTTTTAAATGAGAAGTCGAGAACCATCCACTATCTTTTAATATTTTTTTGTTTTAAATCTATATTAAAAAAATCCACGTTTTTATTTTCTTCATAATCCACGATCCCTAACACAACTTCAAATCTCAAAATCGTTTTATTGCAAATGCAGATGTAGCAGTACTTACTTTTAATGTAAAAACAGTTCCTAATCAGGCCTCAAAATCGTCCTTCATGCTCGACCACGAGTATAATGCGTCCATCAATTCCCGGTCCATCCTCGGCGTTTATTCAATACAAGTAAGTTTTGAAAACAAAGTTTGAATTTTTGTTTTCCTTTCGTTTTTCATTTCATATTCGTTCTTTTCTCCTTCTTTTTTTCTATGATTTTACTTTGCTTTTTATTAGACAGCAAGAGAACAAAAAGTTTGGATCCTCAAGCTTAGCTTCAAAGAAATTAAAATATTATTAGATCCTCAAACCATGATTGGATCATCAAATCAAGGTTTCAATGAAGAAGTTATTTTTAGAACGAAATGGAAAGAGAAGCATGTTCGGTTTGCTAGGAAATTCGGAGATGGAGCAAAGACTTTCCACAACCAGTAACGTATAGATTGACTTTTTATATTTATAATTATGTAGTACGCTCACAAAGTTTGTCGTATTTCATCAATAATTTGTTTGTTTCATATATTTTTTTTAACTATATAAGATAATGGATTCAATGCACTTCTATTTTAAAAAAAAAAACTAAAAACAATATATATTTAATTTTCCCAAAACATTTTGAATTATGATGTAAATTAGTATTTATTTTATCCATGTATAGCAGGGGCATAATATTAGTTATTCGTTAATGCACCATGCATATTATATTATTCTTGATTCAAATGCATGAATCGAACATAATTAGTCTTGTTTAGCCCATATTATACTTAATCCATGTGCTCCAATCGGAATTCAGTCGTAAGTTTCTTAAAGAACCTTTATCATCAAAAAAACTAACATTAATGGTTATTTTCCATACATATAAATTGAAACAAACCTTAAAAAAAAGTTAATCAAGATTCAAACACTTTATCGTACTAAATTGTATGTGGGTCTTACTAAATTTATTCTATACCAAACAAATCAATATTGCAAGAGGTTAATTTAGTCCCAGATTAACATAGTTAGTAGCAAATTTTTCATGTATATATGAATTTTGTTGAAAGGGACACAAAATAAATAACTAATAGAGATAGGTTTATCTCATAAAAAGAAAAACTATGAGGGATAATATTATCCCACATTGGAAAGGACAAGGGATCTTGACTAGTATATAAGATATATGGGTCTCTCCACTCATCGCCAATTGGTTTTGAGTTGGAAGCCCATATTCTAGATTGGCTCTAGCCATTGATCTCGGTATGCTCGTGCATGGATCGTCGGGCAACTATTGGTCGATGGTGGATTGGATTTGGACATGTACGGATCGGACTCTGATACTATATTAGAATATGGGCTTCCAACTCAAAACCAATTAGCAATGGGTGGAGTGACCCATATCCTTTATATATTACTTAGGATCTCTTCCAACTTCCGATGTGGGAAATTATGTCCTAATAAAAACAAGTATCTTAAAAGAAAAGGGAAAATTAGTGACAACCAGATGAGAATAGGATTAAAGTGTTTTTAGTGTCCTACAACCATGTGGCGGTTGACATCGTCCAGATTATAATTGTCATCCATACTTCCTTGTCTTAAAAGTGATCTAATAACAGTGTCAAAATGATAACTTCGTCTTCTTCTTCTTTTGTATTATAGGACAATTGCGAAGAAAATTCCCAATTTTGTATATACAGTAAAACCTCTATAAATTAATAATGTTAGGGCCATAAAATTTTATTAATTTAGAGAGGTATTAATTTATAGAAAGATTTTCCTAATTTGGTAATTTCTTAAAAATTACCATCTAAAAATAAAAAATTTCTTTATAAGCAATATCTTTTTTAAACCAATTGTAAGTAGAGAAGCAATTATTAAGTTTAAAAAACAACACAAATTTTTTTTAATAATAGAGTCATATTTCATTAAAAATTTTACATATAATATTTTAAATATATATCGTAGTAATTCATATATGAAATATATAAATTTATATCATATATATATTAAGTTAAATATACATATATATATATATATAGGTTTATATAATTATTAATTTATGATATAGATGGGACTATACGTTTATATGAGATTTTCAAAAAAAATATTATCTTATTAATTTAGCGAGTTATGTCATATTTTACATTGGTCCCAACTCGGGACCGGAAGAATTTATTAATTTAGAGAGGTTATTAATTTATAGAATATTAATTTATAGAGGTTTTACTGTATCTCAAGATTAGTTTCGTTTTATAGTAACAAATGAAAAGACTTTGAAGTGTGACCTATTTAATATGTGATCATCATCGGTTAGCAGGCTAGAAAAATATTGTACTTATGTAAATTAATTTTGCATATTAACTGTTGCATGTAGTGATATATGTAAGTATGTAACTATGTAAATAAGGTTCCAATAAGAATAAATTTAAGTGCATGTCTTCAAAAAATGAGTTCTTTTAAGTTTCTATAAACTTGTCAGAAACTTATTTTTTTCAATCATGCAACACAACTAATAAAGTTATAAAGAAAATATGACTGGACCATTAGATAGCTATCGACTTTTTGAATTATTGCTAAATGCTCTATCCTTGAACATGTAAAATATATATATATATATATATATATATATATATATATATATATATATATATATATATATTTGTGGCTAAAAATTGTTGAAATCAATAATTTGAATGTGTAGAACCTTTTTTCAGTTTTTTTTTTCTTGAATTATTTATATACTTCTTTGAAAGTACATAAAAAATACAGTATCCTAAAATAAAACGAAGGAAATATAAGATTATGTGTCACGGTTAAGTAGACCGTATTAATTAGAGTTTGTACCGGTAAACCGGATGTGGTTATTTCACTATATATTCTCTACCACATGTAACAGATCATTTGTGAGAAATACAAACTTTTATCTTTTCTTCGATTTCTCACGAATATTAATATGGTATAAGAGCACAATTCTTCCGTTTTTCGTCGCAAATTCCGCCAATTCTTCGAGTTTACTTCATTATCATCTCCATCATCGATTTCATCCATTTCCACCAATTTTTCTTCGTTTTCTTGAATTTTTCACTTTTCCGATCAAAATCCGCTGAATACGATGGTTGCTGTTCACAATTTACCGCGTCGTACTCTGTGATCACGTCGTTCAGATGAAAGAACTCCTCCTATACGCGAATCAACTCCGGCTTCATCGCCAGTGGCTCATAATTCTCCGATTTTCACTCAAATGGCTTCCGATCCTCCGATTGATTACACGGATTTGTACTCTCATTATGCTTTGACGAGTGGAGACAATCCGGGGAATGTTATCATCACCGAGGTATTAGATGGAACCAATTAATCTTCTTGGACTATCGCTATGTCTGTTGCACTCGATGCGAAGAACAAAATGGCTTTTATCGATGGATCTCTTCCTCGACCTCTTGCTACAGTCACTAGTTTTCGTTATTGGTCTAGATCAGTGGCGGAGGTAGGGTGTTAGTAGGGGGTCACTTGACCCCCATAACTTTTAGAAAGTTTTGTTTATTAGGCTTAATTATTTGGTATTTGTTAATAATTTTGTTTAAAATGTTAATGTTGACCCCATTAACTTATCTTCAAATCATGTTTTTGCACCCCTTTTATTAATTTTTTTTTCTATTGACTCCTGTCAAATTTATTTCTGGTTCCGCCACTGGTCTAGATGTAACAGCATGGTGAAGTCTTGGATCTTGAACACTGTGAGTAAACAGATCTATAAGAGTATTCTTCGCTTTGATGATGTGTCTGCAATTTGGAAGGATATTGTCCCACATTGGTTGAGTTTGTGATTTTTGGGTAGTATATGTGTTATGGCAATCCTTCTCCTTTGAGCTAGCTTTTGGGTGTGAGTTAGGCCCACACTAATATGGTATCAAAGCCCAGACCTAATTCTGATTGTGGACCACCCGTGGATGTCTACTCCCACAAACTTCACGCTTCAGATATCCAGTCTTGAGCGTGAAGGGGGTGTGAGAATATTATCTCACATTGGTTGAGTTTGTGATTCTTGGACAGTATATATGTGTTGTGGCAATCTTTTTCCCTTGAGCTAGCTTTTAGGTGTGAGTTGGACCTACAATAAAAAAAATAGGATGCACGTAGACAAATTTACTCTCTACTTTTAAAAAATGACTGGTCCATGGAAGTTGCTTAGGTAAGCAAAAATATTATATTAACGTTTGTTATTACTTGTATTAAAAACTAACAACTAATATGTGTAATTATAGTATCACATCCATAGGTCAATCTGTTGTCTACACTCATTTATACCATTTGAAACTACTATCCACATTTAGACTAACTTGCGAAACCGTTTTGTTTTTGCATCTAACTTGCACGCATATGTATGCACTGGAAATTTTAAAAATTCTACACATAAAGTGAAGGACTACGTACACCCTTTTTTCTTTAGACCATCCAGCCAACAAAACTTCCCTCCAACATAAAAGCATATGGTATATATATATATCCTATTGAAATAACAGTTGGATGGTGCCATCATTGTTTACTTGACTCTTGACTATACCTTTCAAAACATTACTAAGCCTTTGAAAAGTCAGTTTCATCGCAATCAGATTTGGTGTTCAAGATCGAGCCATTCCTAAAAACTACCTAAAAACCATGTTGAAATATATAAATTTAGACATAGTTGTGGTCAACATATTTTACTAAAATTACAAAAGAAGTTTGTAGGAATCGTGTGAACTAACTAAAGATTGTTACGGCCGGTAAAATATAAAAATTATATTCCTTATTAGCAAATTTAAACCGTATAATTGAAGGAAAAAAAACGTAGAAAACAATAAAGGAATAATTGGCACGACGTTAAGCTTAACTTTACATGGAATGATAGAGAGAAAAGTAGAGATTTCACATCAATTATTTCTATTTTTTCCTTTTTCTTTGCATTGCTTTAGTGATAATTCACATTAATTGGCAATACACACCATGTGAGAAATATTCAAAGGAACAGAATAGGACAAGCTCCAAAGATAATTGTTTACCTGTCACTTGTCTTGTCCCACTTTCTAATTGTATTTGATAACTCTCTTATCATTGTTTTCTACAGTTTTATCATTAGTTAGTCACTATTATATTACCAAAATTAGTTTAGTAATAGATTAAGTCAAGGTTATATATATTCCTAACTACTAAATGTACAATATTAGATTATTCAAGTAAACGAATCAATTTAAGTTCATTGATTAAAAACTTGGCAGGACACGGCCGGCTGAAACCTACCACCCCTACTTGATCCACAATCTTTGGTAAGATAAGACTAATTAAACCCATGGGAAGATACTAATTAATTTTGTTTTTCCTTTTAAAAAATTATTGATCTAAGTAAGGTTCACAATCTTTGGTACTAAGAAAATTAATTTAAGTTGGAAATAAAAATTAGAATGATAGTTATAATAAGTTAAATAAGTTTCGATATAAACAATCAAAACATGTTCAAATAACAAAAAATATAACTATAAATATTTAACTTTTTATATCTATTCTATATAACAAATAAGTGCTTCATCTTCAATGATACCAAGAAAATATGATTGAATATAGGTTAAAACTTTATTTAATTCCGATGTAGTTAATTATCTCATCCATGTACTAAAACTCTTTTCTTTTGTTATCTCTATTGCTCTCATTGTAAAATAAGTAGTATTTAAACAAGAATTACTAAAATGAAAAACACACACCTAAATCACTTATATTTTTTTTTCTGTTAAGTACTCCTAAACTATTTAAACAAATGCACATAAATATCTTAATGGTGATAGTTTATCAATAAAGTATCTGAAATTAGCATCCTCTTATTAAAAACAAATCTAAATTTTAACATTAAAAAAAAAAAAACACAAACTAACAAATCAAACAAAACACAATTACACCACAATAGTCTAAAAAATAATAATACTGGCATGGGATCCACAAAACACACTGTCAGAAAATCTTCAGAGTTTCAGAGAACAAGAAGAAGAAGAAGAATAAAACAGTAAAACCAGAAAACATATCTATTCTTACATTTTATCTCTTCTTGTTCTTGTCTCTTCCATTACCAGAAAACATCGAACCAAAACCAAACAAATTCCCAGAAGGAACAACGTTTATAACCGGACTCACTCTAATCCCACCACCTCCATGACTACCATAACTATAACCTCCATAGCTTTTCTTCAATGGTGGTTTCGAAAAACCATTATTACTCAACGAAGACGAAGCAGAGGAAGAAGAAGACAACGATGAAGATTGTTGTAGCTTCACATGTTCGTTGTGTTTCCTTGAGCTGCTCTGTTTTTGTTTACTCGACGTTGAACCGGTTGAATTACTCCGGTTTAGTAACGGTAACGGACATAAACTCCGACCATAAGTACTTCCACAGTTTAAACTACTGCTTCTCTTAAACCCCCAAAACGACTTCGTATTGGTTTTCTCCTCCGTCGTGATTATCACGTCGTCTTCTTGTTGTTCTTCGTTTTGTTTCCTCTGTTTTCTTGAATCTGGTTTAGTCTTAACCGGTTTTGTATCTTTCGATTCGGGTTCTTTTTTTCCCGGTTCTGGTTTTTTCTTGATTTCTGTTGGTAAGATTTTGCCGTTAGAGAAGAGTTCATCAGCGGACCAAGAACCTTGATCGAAGCTTTCGCCGGAATTTACGCCGCCGGGAATGCAGAAATCGAAATCAATGCTTGAATTGAGGCTTGACGGTTTAGAGTTTGATGATCTTAAGGGACGTTTCTCGATTGGTATTGCGTCTGATTGACAAAAGTCACGTGAAAATGAGATTCTTGGACTCATATTAGAATTTTCCGATAAAAGATCCACCGCCATTTTCTTGAAGAAGAAGAATTTGAAAGGTTTTTTTTTATATATAGTAAATGAGAATTTATGAAAACGAAGAGATTTTTTTTTTTAGTTTCTGGAGAAAAAGAGGAGAAGGAGAATTTCGAAGAAGAGAGAAAGAGAGAGATTTGGGGAGGAAGGTGAATTTAATTATTTTTATAGGTGATTTTAAAGAAAATGAAATTAGGAATTAAAATGAGAAAATAATGAAATTTAGAATTTTTTTTTTTGTGAAAAAGAGAAAAAGGAGAATAAAAAATGGTAATAAAAGAGGGGACAAAGAAGCGTGTCGTTTGCTACATATTCACATGCATGGGCCAAAAAATGGATATATGTTGGTTCTTCACTTTCGTACCTTTTTTTTTTTTCGAATGGTCTAATTTTTTATGTAAAATATTGAAACTTTTGATTGAGATATATTGAAACTTCTGTAAAAAAAAATTGTTGAAGTCAAAAGACATGGGCAAAAACTGCAATGTTTGAAATGTTTAGAGAGTAAAATGTTCAGATTCGTGTTGACCAATCTGATGAAGCAGTGAATATAGACCAATGGTGTAAAGTTCACCGACCCAAGACTTTAACAACACAATTACTAAATTTGTCTAGGACATTGTGAAGTTAAGGAGATAAGTTTGTGGTAAGAGGTATAAAGGAGAGGAAAAAAAAAACTAAATTGTTTGGGTATTGTTCATGCAAGATTTTTTTAAATCGTCATGATGCGAGTTTTTTTTTTTTTAATAATTGTTGTGGATCGTTTATTGGAGAAATAAAATATATTTGTATTACAGAAAATATAACCAACCAAAGTCATTTAGACCACTAGGACAAGTGTGATGTTTTCCGAATATCTCTTCTACATTTAAGTAAGAAAACGTTTATTCGATTTTTGAAAAGCAATGCTTTCTAAGTTGTTTGTTTAGTTCGGTCCCTTTAGTTTTTTGGGGTCAGTTTTATGTGTAAGAATTAGTCTTTTATGTCAAATTCTGGATTTGGATTCTCCATTCTCTTTAGGTGGAATTTTGTTTTTTTAAAAAAGAAGTATTTAGAGAGTTTACCGAGTTTGGATATCGGATCACCATATTTCAGGGTAGATGGATCAGTCACTTATCGATCTTTCGCATAGTTCGTAAGTTTGGTGACTAATGACTCTAAAGCACGTTACAAAACATGTGTTCGATAAGTTAGGGTAATATAGCATCGCTACTGCTTTATACGAGAATGTTGCATCCCATTGAACATTTACTTCACGTTTAATAAGGTCGAGCACTAGCCATTCTTCGAATTTGATGTATTCAGGATGATATTTACATAGGAAATCAGTTACCAGAAAGTCTTTTTGCATGTTTGACACCCAATTATCACAACCTGAAATGTTGGTGCTTTTGATTGAAATTTACCCCAACAATATTGTTACTGCTAAAACTATTAGTTGAAGTTAGCCAAAAACATTCAACAACCTCAATTAATTCGATATTTAAACATTTTGATCCAACCATTTATTTGCAATGACTATACCGACCTTACTGAACCGTACCAACTACATTTATCTACGATGCTTTTTATGAGTATTGAATTAGGAGCTAAACGATACAAATGTTGCTGTCTTATTATTCAGTTTTTAAATTATTAACCTAGTTTGTTCTTGTCTTTACTAATTTAGAATATCCGTTTATTTTTAAGATTCTCAGTTTAGGTTTAATTTAATGGTTAGGTGAGAAATTAATTATAAGTACAAAAATCATAATAAAATCAATAAGGGTGGCATTGTTGATGATATTTACCTCCAAACTAATTTATAAAAGTCAGACACAATTGTCAAATTTATATATCAAGAACATAGTTTTCTTTATAAGTAGACCATAATACAATTTCGTTGTTATCCACTTTTGTAAAATATGAAATGTATATATCAAAGATTTGTTTTTTTTTTAATTGTCGCTAATTGTGCGTTTTTGTTCCTTTCAAATTTGGATTATATATTTATTTTCTATATATATATATATATATATATATCTTATGTATATAAAAAATTTATTTTTGATAGAGAAATGAACTTCTTTGTATTCTAATAGATGGCTCTTTTGTGAAAGAAAAGTCTATAATTCTTTATTTATACTCTTTCTTTATTTAATATGATGAGTCATGCAAGTTTGCTTTTCATAAAATTGAAATCGATTTTTTCTTAAATTTGAAGTAAAGAAATTGTTATAAGATAGAAATAAAGAAAGGGGAAAAGGAGATTTCACATTATCTAGAAAATAAAAGGGAATTTTAAAAATTAATTAAAAAATTTGGGAATTATATGAAAAAAATAGAAGACAAAGTAAGCATGGCCATGGGTCCGATGGCTACGTATTTACCGAAAACGAAGAATCCCACTAAGGGAAGTGAAGGGTTAAGAGATGGTCCACGTTTCCTACTAAAACATTTTCCTATCCATTTGGATCACCCACGAGCCCACCTTGAAACCAACCCGACCCGATTCGACCCAACCAAGAATTGCCTACTTTGGCTGCTCTCGATAATACTAACAGGAACTTGTCCAATTCCGTTAGGGTTTGGTTATGATGACGGACCCAAGAAATATCGGATTTTTCTGATCCTAGTAAACAATAAAGATGGTCCAGTCCGACAAATAGCATTGGTGATGTTTTTTGCTGACAATTACCGAACACTAATAATAAAACTGCTTTTGTTTTCTACATAAATTTTATATATATAAGAAGAAGAAAGCTCTCCATGTTATGATACTTGAGCATCCAAAATGAAGATAGACATAAACAATCAAAATTTGTCTAATGAAAACTTATTATTATTTTTTTTTTCATCTGAAAACTTATTATTTTTCTCCAAAATTTGAAGTCTATTCATCTTCCTTTTTTTTCTTCTAAAGAAACGTTACATGTGTTTTTTTACAGAAATATCTAGCTAATAGATTACATAGTACTATTTAATATTTATATACCATTTAATAATCTTATAAAAAATCTTTGAATAAAGTAGTTAAATAATTTGGTAAAGTATATATTTACATGATCACATCTATAAATACACAAATCACGTATAAGTATACTCCCTCTATTTCACAAAGAGTGTCATTCTACCATTTTTCACACAAATTAAGAAAACTAAACAAATGTAATTTTTACCCCATATTAATACACTAGATAATACCTTTTATATAATTAATAAGCTGAAATAGTAGGGATAAAAAGAGAATTAATCTTAAAAACTTCACTGAAAACGTAAAACGACACTCTTTGTGAAACAAATTAAAACCTTAAAACGACACTCTTTGTGAAACGGAGGGAGTATTTGGAATTTCAAATTTTGTCACAACATCATTAACTAAATGTTTGGCACGAAAATTTGTACCGAACCGCAATATACCACATATGTAAACAATGTTTCCCAAAATTGGTTCTTTAATTTTGAGCTAATCAATTAAAGTTGTTGACAAAAAAAATTATAACTAAATGAACTACATAAGCCATTAATAATAATTATGAACTACAGAAGATATATAATTAGGGAAAAATAATGATCAAATGAACTGAATTATATAGAATGCTCATGAATTGGTATTTTTAGAATTGAAACACAATGAAAGTTATATTCTTTTTCGAAATAATTATGTTTTTAATTATACAACAGAAGAGAATATAAGGCGGATTAGGCTTCGGTGACTTATTATCATTCAGAATTTTTTTTCTTTTTTGTTAAAATCTTTTATCATTTTGAGTAAGCTCTCTTAGCTAATCAAGTTTGGAAGCTACATCATAGACCAACTAGTTTCGTATACAGAGATCTACACGGACACTACTTCTCACGAGGGACGTTGTTAACGGCTAAAGAAGGATCATAAGTCACAACCATCTTATGGTTGGACCTCCCTTCTAGGAGGTCGTGGTGTGCTACTTACTGTGGCTCAATGTTATATAGGCAATGGTAGAAGCATCAGATTGGGTCAGGATACATGGCTCCCGACAATGCTATAGACTACCTCCACTTAATGTTGATCCGAACTTACCACTTTCAAGTTCTACTCCACACAAGTACGGAACTCTGGAAAGAGGATATGCATGCAAATCTATGTCTCAAATGAACATAATGAGGAATCTTTTTCTCTCATACTATATGTGAATTTGGAGAGTTTCAGAATATATTTAAATCCATAATCAGATTATAATTTACACTCACCGAATCCATGATAAGATGTCGGAGAAACAATCGATACTTGGCAAATAGATTATTATTCACATAAAAGAGAGACAAAAAAATATTGAAAAGAATTTCAGAATCCATGTAATTTTACATCATATTTTCTGGACAAATGTGTTAAGTTATTGCTTTTTCTATGTGAGAGTCACTAAGAAAGTGTTTACCTCTAGTCTAAGATTCTGAGTTACACATGGAATTGTATGAAATTGGACATCAAGAGAATGAGTTACTAAAGTGAATTCCTCCAAGTCAATTGAATAAACAGCCAATTCAAGAGATTATATACATACAATGATGGTGATAAAATCTTTATTGAAAAGAAGCTCAATTATATATCTATACATGAAGTTCTTATGAATTTGTTTGCATAATGTACTTCTATAGGAGAATTTTTATACAATACTGTCTTTAACCACCTCCATTATCAGATCACAAGTTCCACTCTAAGAATCCATTGAATTATATACCTGAGAAATGTGATATCAAGAGAAAATTGCTTAAACTAAGTTTCTGGTCAATGTATGTAGATAATTCTGTTCTGTAGGAGAGTTTTTGTATCAAAATATGTGTTTAACAGATTTTCAAATGATTCATACTTTTTTTATATCCAATATTGATGAAGAGTTACTCTGATAATCTTAAAAGTAGGTTATGTAATGTGGGAACATGTTAAGAAAGAAATATTGATCTCTTTATTCCTTAACCAGCGCATAGTACAATATTCATGGAGAGAAGACTAGAACACAATTTCTAGCTTCAGCTCTCATCAATCTCACATGCGAGATTTTGTACAATCAATTGCATAATATATCCTCTCTAAAAAATGAGAGATCCTATCTATACTACAACTGTAAAAAATTTTGTTCAAAGTAATTCGTAATTAGTCAATTTTACATCCATCAATTTAAATATATCTCTTAACGTATAAGACATACATAATAAAGAATATCAATGCTAAACAAGCTCGCTGGA